CAGCGGCAACGTCAGGCTCGCAAACCTTCCGCATCTTGGCAAGGCGCCCGAGGTGCTCCTTATTCGCCTCCTTGGTCTTGTTGGCCGTCTCCTTGGCCTGTGCGAAAAGCTTTCTGAGCCAGCCCTTGAATGCCATCACGCAGCTGATTGCCCCTCGCCTCGAGCTCCTCTTGGTCGGCCTGGGACAGCTCAAAGTCCTCGGTGCCAACCGGCAACTCCGAGGGGTCGATGCCCAGCTGCTGCGAGAAAGTGCAGTCCAAGATCGCAGCCAGGGAGCAAGGCACTGACTTGGCCGCGCCGTCCTTCTGGCGGGACTGGGTCGTCTGCCCACGCAGGGCAGCGACCAGGCGGCGGCGCTCAGCCCCAGCCGCCTCCACCTCCTCAGCGAGCTTGGTGACCAGGCCCGTCTGCTCGACCATCTGCAGCGACCGCTCCTCGAAACGCTACGCAGCACCTTGAAGCTTGCGTTCGAGGCCGCGAAGCTTGCTGCGGGCCATGGGCACCTGGCGCTGCAGCGTGGGCCCCTTCGCGGCGGGCGGGGGCTCGGCCAGCTCGCGGCGCCGCCCTGCGCACAGCGCGCCACCCGACTTGGCCAGCAGCTCCGCCAGCGCCGCGTGCTCTTCGCGGGAGAGAGCGTTGGCGGGAGCGCGAGCTTGGGCCGCAGGAACAGCGCCACCCTTGCCACCTCCGCTGTCGGCCAGCGCAAAGCAACCAGGCGGACCAGAGGAGGCGAAGGGCGAGAAGGGGCCGGCACCGCCACCGAGGCCATTCGACCATACTCCACCAGGTGCCCCAAACATGGGAGGTGAGCATGGCTGGAACGGTGCCCACACGGTGCCGCAGCGCTTGCAGCGCCTCCAGCGCATCTCGGCCTGCACGCAGCCGCGGGGCCCGCGGGCCCAAAGGGCTGGACGGGGCGGGCCCTTGGAGCCCAGGAACACGCGCAGCCCAGCGCGAGCTCCTTCTCGAGGTCGGCAGCCGGCGGGGAACGCTGGCCTCCTCTGCACTGCTTGCCGACATCTCGCAACGCTCAGTGGCTTGGGCGCAAAACGGCGAATCGCCTCCATCTGCGCTTATGCTTTTGGTATCCTAATAATAACCATTGCGCCTGTTGCTCTCCCGTGATTTATGTTGGCATACCGGAGCGAGCAAGGGCTGCGGCCTCGTCGTCCGAAGACGCATCTGCGTCAATACATGAGTCGGAATCGGACTCGGCAGGTTGCCCCGCTGAGCCCAGTAGGGCCATGGCTTGCGCGGGGGCAACCGCGTCGGGCGGCCCCCGAAACCTGGCGCTGGAGTCTTGCGACCCCGAGGCCGATCCACCGTTCTTAGCCAGTAGTGTCGTGGTCTCAATTGGTTGTGGATCGTCGTTCCAGACGTCGTTCGCAGGTTGCCCTGCGATAGCTTCCACGTGAAAGGTCTCGGCACGGTGCCCGTGACTGAAAATTCAGCCAATGTTACCAGGGGTTCTCCCAGCAAGGTGAGCACATGACCTCGCGCGTTCGAGTAGCGCGTCAAACTGTTGCTGGTCTCTCGGCACGCTGTGGTTTAGAGGCTGCAGGAGACGTTGTGCACGCGATGTCCCCACGCCAAGAGTTCTGAATCAAACCACTGTTAAGATTTGAACGTTGGGGATGTTGAAGCCTGCCGTTTCAGCTTCATAGCGGGCTATATGGAAGTGTGCTAACGTCTGTTCGATGCGTTCTCCCGCACGCACTCGGAAGTCAATGACAGCTGTGCCAGAGTTGACTTGACGCTCCTCTTCTAGATTCTCGAACTTCGCGCTTAAAATGAACGCGGCGTAGGTGGCGCCGTCGGCATGGCAACCGCATATGTTGACGCCAAAATTGATGACTGCTGGGGGGGGGCTCTCATGGCTATGGCCCGTGCGAGACCTCCTAAACGTCGCTGCAGGGCTGCAGCTTGCTGGGGGGGCGCCACGGCGCCTGTGATCACGTCGATCCAGGCATGTACCTCGCAAGCGAATTCGCGGAAAAAAAGGTACCTGAACGGCTGGATCCCAATGAGGGCCAGTCGTTTTTGCATCGTCTCCACCGCGCATATGTCCCACCGCGCGCCCGGTAGCGACCCACGTGAGCCCAAAGATAGCAACGCCAATCCAATGGCCTCGCAGGTCGTAGTCGGATGTAGCAGGTCGGGGCCCCTGATGTGCGGCTGCAAGTCTGCGCGGGGGTGGGGGCGGCACCGCGTCGCACCGCATGTTTCCATGCATTATGTATTCGAGGAAGTTTCCAAGTGGAGCGGGTGCGTGGACTTCAGGAGTACAGCGGCGCAGGGATGTAGGACGAAAGTAAGAGGCCTGCGCGCAAGCGGAGATGTCGCTGCAAGCGTCCTTGCTATACTGCGTAGTTTTATACATTCCTCCGCGCAAACCCACTGCACCCTGATGTTCCACCATGTCTGTAGTCCACCAGATAGTGCCGTGGATGATGAGGAGTAGAGCTAGAGCTGACCACCATAGGCCAGCTCCGCAAGACAGTTTGAGAAGGGCTGGGAGGCCAAACCAGCAGCTTCGCCTTAGGCGAAGCACAGTCCCAGCTCTGTTGTACCGTAGTAACGATAGCCCGAGTAGTAAAGCGCGTACCATCTTAAGCAATAGGAAGGTCCTTTTTGGCCTCGATGGCGAATCGCATGCCTCACAATAAGGCGCAGTCATATCTGGGCGGCCGGCCGCTTGAGCCGACGCGGCCGCGGGCGCACGCTCGCTTCCGCCCCTTATGTTCCCCAGCTCGCTTTAGAGTCAAACCGGCTCGGCGCGCCTGCGTTCTCACGCAGGCGCGCTCCTGTAGTCCTACTTCAAAGCACCGCCTTGCTTGCGCGCGGAACCCATGCCCCCCGAAATCGCCGCGGGCGCGCTGCAACCTCCACCTTTGGCGATGAAGACTGCAATGGTTCAGATGAGCGACGACGGTCTGCGAACACACGCGACTCAAACTAGGTATGTGGGGTTCCTCGGTAGCGCAATTTGCATCCTCGCCTCGGGAGCTTACGGGCGCTCCAAGACGGCCCAGAGGCTCCCAGGATCGATCCAACATGGCCCAAGAGGCCTCCAAGAGCCCCTCTACTAGCCCTCCACGAGCGCCCACAACGGCCCAAGAGGGCCCCTAGACAGCCCCAAAGGCTTCCAAAATGGCCGAAGAAGCTCCCATGACGGCCCCAAGAGCGGGCCAAGACGGGGCGCGCTAGGCATTGGTTCCCGCCATGGTGCACAAAGAGTTCGTTCTTGAACTTGCCCGGGCACCTGCTCCACCCAGGTAGCAATAGGTGGTCAGCGGTCGCTGGGAATATGTACGCGCAAGAATTGGATCGTGCGTGACAGTAAAGCGCGTGGTGCCGTCGGTCGTCGTCGTAGCCGTCACTGTCCGCGACGCTGGCGTGGTGGTAGTAAGCTGTCCATCCGCTAGGGCAGCGCATGTCGTGGCGTGTGTTTCGGCGGCAATGGAGTGAGGTAGAACGGATGTGTGTCTGCCGATCCGTTCATCTTGGTCCACGGGTCGCCGTTCTATGATGGCGTCGGAGTCTGTTGTTTCGTATATGATGTCTGGTACGTTTGCCCATGGACGGCGGGGAGGGCGGGGTTGTTGCTGTGGTGCTGGCTGTGTAGGTGGCTCTGGTATTTGCATATTTGCGTTGGTGACGGTGGCGCGTGCGCGCAGCCGGCGTTTGGTACTGCTCTGTGTTGGTTTGCTTGTTTGGGTTTGAGCGTCAGGGTTAGTATACGCTGCCGTGGTGGCGTCATTGGCGCGTGCCCTGTGCAGGTGGATCGTAATTTGTCCTCGCGCTCGTAGCGTCTGATCTCTATGTCACGGATCTTCGCGAGTTAGCCTTGTACAAAATTGTAGTGTGGATGTTCGGCTGGAATGTCCGTAGGAACCCTGACTCCGTCTCGCGTTCTGATGTACTTGGGCGGTCGGAAGTTGAAGTGTGGTCCGCCAGGAATAAGTATTTCATGCGTGGGTTGTGGACGCATGAAGGTGGGATTGCACTCGTTGCATGCAATGAACTCGTTGCATGCAATGAACTCGCTTGAAAAGTTTACAGGGAAAAGGTGGTACAATATGCGGGGCCGCATCGGGTTGTCAGGCGTCGGTGCGGTCCGCTCATAGTGCGATGTGGGTATTGGTTGCTGGTGATGGTATGGCTGTAAACGTGCCGTACCACTCCACTGGTTCAACGGTTTGCATTCGTAGTCTGATGGGGCTTGTCGCTCCACATGCTCTGGTTGTAAATATGCGGAGGTGGTGTAATGTGTCTTCTCCGCTTTGCTACTATGCGTGCGGCCCAAGGTGGGTGTAATGTTGATGCTCCTGGTGTGTGGAATGCATCCGCAAAGTAGTTGGTTAGAGAGAACAGCTCTGAGCCTAAGATAACTCTGTGTTGAGGGTCGGTCATGGAACTGATAAATGTGGTGCGGTCGGCGTGGGAAACTTGGTGCGTATGCCGCAGTCTTCGTCAATCTGGAACTCGTACCTCGTGTCGTGATCTTGTACAGCGTCTCCTTGAGGCTCTGTTCGATGCCGTTTTCGTTAAAGTAAGCGCATCTTCTTAATCATACTATGTTGTGTTCGATGTCGCTGCTTAGTTCGTCCCACGTGAGGTGGATGAGCAAGCAGCCGTCGTCGTACGTCGAGTTGAGTCTGTTCGTTGTCGTCGAATGGCTGTTGGTCCTGGCGGTACTCGGCCTTTCTGTAGTAAGGTATGCAGGTTGGTTTCTGTGTCCTCCTCCTCCTCGTTCTCCTCATCCTCCTCCTCGGCGTCGCCGCCGACGTCACCGCTGCTGTCCTTGACAGGCGTGTCTGCGGATGCAGACTTATTTGTTTCAACTGTCTGTGTCAATCCAAAAGTTCTGCAGTGTCTTGAAGCGTGCTTTTTCTTCTGTTTCCGAAAGAGATGGTGAACGCTGCAGGCTTGAGGCACGAGCACAGATGAACGCGAAAGCTTCTCCAGAAACGTGAATCGACAAAGTTACGGTGTAAGATTCATAGTTTGATCTGGTTCGGCTACACGCAAGAGTGACTCTAGGCAAGAGCGACCTTCGGTGCGCGACTTTCGGGGGGGGCGCGGAGGGCCAAACCCAAGCGCGGAAGCCGCTAGCGCACCACATCCAACCAACTAGGGAACCTAGTGAACCCGAACCAAAAGTCACTCCGGCGGAAGGCCACTCTTACGTAGAGCCGACTGGTTCGCATCTGCCTCCCGAGCTTCATCGTCACGGCTGCAGCGAACAAGCGACAACGCCGTCATCGTCCGGCGCGTCTGCACGGCCAGCGAGGAACGCCTCAGCGTGCTGGCACCTGTGGTCCTGGAGCGGTCAAGCGGACTGCGGCTGTAGCGCAAGGTGCGTCCTCCAGCGAGGAGACCAGGGATCTCGCCCGCCACGGCGCTCGTGACCAGGCCGTAGTCCGCGATCAACGCCACATGAACGCCCTCATCGGGCGTGACGAAGATGCAGCCGACGACGGAGCGGCCCAGCACCATGCGCTCGTGCCGAAGAGCTTCTGTGGCGCCGGAAAACGCCTAGAAGAACTGGTGGGCCTCCACTGAGAGAAAATCTGCCATTACCGAGTTCGTCCTTCGAAGCCGCCAGTCGCGTCAGACGCTGACCGGCTCGGCAGGATGGGGAGTCGTCGAATGCTGCGACAACACAAGCGGTGCAGCGGCTGGTGGCACCACCCAGCGGTCCACGAAAAAGCCCGCGATCAGCTGCAACATGGTCAGCCTGGTCAGCGTCGAAATGGGCCAGGCGAAGCTACAACAGTTACACTGGCAAGTGCAGACAGGAGCCAGCGCGTCCCGCACCAAGAGGCAAAAAGGCCGGTCGGCAAGAGGCACGCGACTCCCGCGGGAACGACAAGAATCCCACCAGCCCTCCGGGCGTAGGTGGTTTAAGGCGTTTCCTCTTCCACCCCTCCCTCTTCCCCTTCGGGGAGGGGTTTATCACTATTCGCTATGAATATGCACGCCCTCCCCCAGGCGACTGGGAACCAACCAAGGACAATGAGTCTTCCCCCCCATCATCCTTTGTACATAACAATGCAAAATATATTCTGCCTCCAAATTCGGAGCATGCGCAGCGAACCCGATGCGGCCTCCCCCCACCATCCCTGTCAAAAACAATACAGAGTACACTTGGCGGCGGCAGCTGCGGCGGCTGCGGCGAGGGCAGCGGCTGCGGCGGCTGCGGCGGTGGCGGCGGCGGTGGCGGCGGCGGCGGGGGCGGCGGCGGCGGCAGCGGCGGCGGCGGCGGCGGTAGCGGCGGCGGTGGCGGCAGCGGCTGCGGCGGCAGCGGCTGCGGCGGCAGCGGCTGCGGCGGCGGCGATTCGGCAGCGGGGGCGACGCTGGCGGGGGCGGCGGCGGCGGCGGCGGGCGGCGCGGCGGCGGCGGCGGCGGACGGCGGCGGGCGGGCTGCGCGGCGGCGGCGGCGGCGGCATGCGGCGGTGGCGGCGGCGCGGCGGCGGCGGCGGCGGAAGCGGCGGGCGGCGGCGGCGGCGGCGGCAGATTGGCCCCCAGTAGCTGTTCATCCAAAGACGACTGCTGAATATGCTGCGGCTCGGGCCAGGCTCGTGTGCTACGTATGAGTTGGGAGGGCGGGTGGGAGTGAGCGAGACGGCTTGCGGGCGGGGAGGGGGTATTGACCCCTCCCCCTACCCCCTCCCCTGGACCTGGACGGGGCGTTCCGCGAGCGGTCGAGAGCGTCTAAAACGGCATCGGCGAGGATGACAAAATCATCGTGTTCCAACGTTTTGGCCCAATGTTGGCCTCCGGGGGGAGAGGCTAATTAGGGAACCTCACTTTTTTTGATCGATCTCCTCCGAGATGGCCCCAAGAGCGCTCCCAAGGTTCCCAAGGATTCCCAAGAGGGCCCCATTGATCGATCTCCTCCGAGATGGCCCCAAGAGCGCTCCCAAGGTTCCCAAGGATTCCCAAGAGGGCCCCAAGAGGTGGCAAGGAGGCCCCACGAGGCCCCCAAGACCTCCCAAGAGACCCCCAAAAGGCCCCAAGAGGCCCCCCAGAGGCACCCAAGACGCTCCAAGAGGCCCCGGCGAGAATGCCAATATCATTATTTGGTTGACCACATTCTGGCCTCGTGGGGGGGAACTGCTTAAATGGTTCCAAGAGCGCCTGGGAGAGCCCACGATGACCTACAAGATGGCTCAAGATAAGATGCCTCAAGATGGTTCCCACGATGCTCCAATGGCCAAAGAGCTCACCCTGGAGGCCGTCCAAAACCGTAGGAAGATAAATGTTGTTGGTTTTCTCGCCTTTTCGCTTCCGATGGCCATCCGAGGACTCAAGATGGCTCCAAGATTGCCCAAGAGGGTCCAAGAGCGCTCCCAAGGCTCCCAAGAGCGCTTCAAGAGGGCCCCAAGAGGCGCCCAGGAGGCCCCAGGAGGCCCCAACAGGCGCCCAAGAGGCCTCCAAGAGGCTTCCAAGAGACCCCCAAGAGGCCCCAATAAGCTCTCCGAGGCACCCGAGACGCTCTAAGAGGCGTCCGGGACCGCCCGGAGGCAGGCCCCCAAGACGCCCCAAGAGGCATCCACAGGGGGACCCTTCCTCTGTGTGCTGCCCACTTCCCTAATCGAGGCAATTCCTCTGGGCATCGTTTCTGGATGGGCCGGTGGGATTACTTTTTTGATCTGCGGCCCGCAAGGAAAAGTCTAGAGGGCGTGTCAATCAGGCTAACTGGGGCACAGAGCCAGATAATTCGTGCAACATGCAGAACACATTGGGGAAAACGGGCAGACGGCGAGGGAGGAGGAGCGAGGCGACGGAAGAACGAAAGGCTGGTGGGGTCACGGGAAGCGTCTAAACTTTCCGAATTGAAGAGAAACTTCAGAGATAGTAGCCCTGGCCGCCAGCCCCATGCCGACCGTTTGTATTACGTGCCCTGCAGGCGACGGCGACGGCGACGGCGACGACGACGACGGCGACGGAGACGGAGACGGAGACGACGACAGCGGCGTCGGCGGCGGCGGCGGCGGTGGCGGCGGCGACGACGGCGGCGGCGACGACGACGACGACGACGACGACGACGAGGCCGACGACGACGACGAGGACGACGAGGACGACGATGGCCGACTCCTGGCGAGAACGACGTACGCTTGCTTCGGCTGGCGCGCGCGGCCCTAGCTGGGCGGGACATTTTCTCGGGGCGCCGCCGCGCCTGGCGCGCGGACCCCCCCAGCGCGTGCGCGCGCCCGCCGCGCCAAAAGGGCGCGGCTGGCCGAGCAGCTGCGAGCGCCTGATTCAGACCCGACGGCGGCGGCGGCAGCAAGCCGTCATCACCTACGCTAGGGAAATTACTCGACGCGGGGACCCCCACATGTGCATCTCATACTCCTGTGACGTTTCGCTGAGGAACTCGGCTTATGGGCATCTGGGTGTGGGAGCGAGTCCGCGTAGGCGATAGGCACGGTAATGACGACGACGACTTCAGTGACGTCCTCCCCCTCCTCCTCCCTCTCCTCTTCCCCCTCCTCCTCCTTCTACTACTCCCCTTCCTCTTTCTGGACATATGTCAGGAGACGAGGGAAACACAAGTGGAAGAGCGAGGGGGAGTTCCTCTTGCTGTTCTCCCCGCGGCAGCTCAGGCAAGCGCGCATGGCGTTAGTACGCCATCTCTCTGGCGTGCTACCCGCGGCAACTGCTGGCACTCGGGGTACCCAAGTGCCACGCCAGCTATATCGCGGTAATCATTTGTGTGTGAGCCTTAGTGCGGATGAATATGAGCGCGGGTGACCTGAGTCTGAGCGGGTCAATGTGTGAGCGGACCCAGGTATGATCGAGCCTGAGTGTGAGCGAGTCTGGATACAGCCAGTTTGAGTATGAGTGGGTCTGAGTATGAGTGAGTATGAGTGCGAGCGAGTCTAAGTGCGAGTGTGTCTGAGTGTGAGTGAGTCTGAGTGTGGGTGAGTCTGAGTTTGAGTATGACGAGTACAAATCTGAATATGGATGAGGCCTGGGTGCGAGACAGTCTGCGTATGAGTGAATCTGAGAGTCTGAGGGCTGGTGAGTCTGAGTGCGAGTGAGTCTGAATGGTTGCGAAAAGTCTGGGGGGTGGGGGGGGGGCAGAAACAGGCGAACCGCCTGAGCCATCCCCCCAGTCTGAGCGCGAATCCGGCACTGCCCTACCCATGACGGCTCCGCCGTGGGGTGCCCAAGTGCCACGCCTGCTGTAACGAGGTGAGCAGTGGACCACAGAAGAACGTGGTGGGCAGACACGGGGAAACCGCTTGAGCCATCCCCCCAGCCAGAACGCGAATCCTGGAGTGTCCCCACCCCTGGCAGCTTCCTCCCCAAGGTGCCTAAACGCCATGCGTGCTCACAGAAAGAATACATCTGCGGGGCAGAAACCGTGTCCCCAAACCTGGAGTGTCTCTACCCCTGACGGCTCCCCCTTGGGGTGCCCAAATGCCACGCCTGTACAACGGTGAATATTGAACCACCAAAAGAAAAAGTCTTGGGGGGCAGAAAAAGGCAAACCGCCTGAGACATCCTCACAAACTGTTCCGAAAGCAGAGGGTGCTGGGCATACGTGCTGGCAGACCGCATAAGACATCCTCACATTCTGGGCGCGAATCCACGGATATCACCGCCCCTGGCGCCCCCCATTGCAGGAGTGCTGAAACCAGCGCCTCGCCTGAGACATCCTCAGAATCTGCTCCGAAAGCAGAGGGTGCTGGGCATGCAAAGAAGCAACCCGCATAAGACATCCCCACAATCTGGCCACGAATCCTGGAGTGTCCCCACCACTGGCGCCGCCTCCTTGAGCGCCCAAATGCTACGCCTGATATATCACGGTGAACATTGGAGCACGAATGAATATGAGTGAGTCTGAGTCTGAGTAGGAAAGAAATACTAATGTGATTTTGTCCGAGAGTGAGTGAGTCTGAAAGTGAGTGAGTCTCCATGTGCTACGTCTCAGTATGAGTGAGTCTGAGTGTGAGTAAGTCTTACTGTGAATGAGCGTACGTAAGTGTGAGTGAGTCAGAGTCTGAGTGAGTCTGAGCGTGAGTGAGTCTGAGTGAGTAAATCTGACTGCAAATGTGTCTGAATACGAGCATATGCGTGAGTCTGAGTGTGAGTGAGTCTGACTGTGAATGAATCTGGGTGTGACTAAATCAGAATATGAATGAGTGTGAGTGTGAGTGAGTGTGACTGTGGTTAATGAAGAGGAGAAAGATGAAGTGAGAAGGTTCTTGGGGCCGTCTAAGTAATAATAATAACCCCAGCTTAGGATATGGGGAGCCCGCAATGACCCAAACATACAAATTCGGAGGTCCGCGCAGATTTCTCAGATCGGCGCAGACCCCCCCCCCCCTGGCGGCGCGCGGAGCGCGCCAGTGGCGGCCCCGGGCCAGAGGCGCCGCCAGTGGGCCCCAGCGCCGATCCGATGAATCCGCGCGGACCTCCGAGTTTGCACATGCTTATGCCATTTCCTGTTCCCCTATACGTGGCCCTAGGGATCTCTCCTGCGCGACAGCTGCATGGCGCGCAGCAGCGTGGGCAGGTGGGACTGCATCTTCTCCGCCAGGAAGTCCCTGGAGCTCTCGAGCGACGCGAAAGGGTCGTCCCTGTGCATCACCATCGAGGACCGGTCCCACAGCACAACGCCGCGGCCGACCTGCACGACTAGCCTCCTGCAGCCCATCTCCGCTGGCTCCTCGATGATCCACACCCGCACGGCGTTGCCGAAGGCGTCCTTGAGAGCCCTCTTCAGCTCCGCCGCGATGGGCCTGAAGTCCGCTCCGATTGTGAACTCCAGCGCCACTGGCTGCGGGCCAGCCAGGCGCGGGGCGGTGCCCTCGGGCAGGCTGGAGGAACAGCTGCCGCCGCCGACGGCGCCGTGGAGGGCTGGCAAGGACCTTTCGCGCTGCATCCGCCCCTGCCCAGCCCTGCCTGGACACGCGGTGCTCGCGGACAGGTGCTGCTTGGAGGCGGTGCGAGCCAGCGGGGCATCCTGGCGGGCGGGGGGGGCGGCAGGCTGGCAAAGGCCAAGGGACTTCGAAGGGGGAGCGGGAACGGAAGGGGAGGCTGGAAACGGGATGGCACGCCGTTGTCCGTGACCGCGCGCCAAACTCGGGGGCGCGGGCATCGACGTGGAGGTGGACGGGGGAGGCGGAGGAGACGGGGGGATGGAGCTGAGAGGAAGTCCTCCTCCTCCGCCTTTTCCTTCTCCTCCTCCTCCTCCTCCTCCTCCTCCTCCTCCTCCTCCTCCTGCTACTCAGGACCTCGGAGACGGGGAGGGGAAGGGGTGCGAAGCGGGAGAGGTCGGTGGCAGGGGCAGCCCGAGGGGGAGGACGCCAAGCGCGCTGGGCGCGCCAGGAGCGCCGAGGTGCGCCAGCTGCGCTGGACGAGCCAGATTGGTGACGATATCCGAACCCTCGGCATCAGCAGCTCCCGTCGCTCCACGGCCAGCAGAGCCGCCTCTTCTTCCGAAATTTCCTTATTTGCCTCCTTCTTCAAACACCTGCACCACGTGTACCAGTGCCTCTTCATCCGCTGTTTTGAGGCCTTCTCCTCGCACTGGGTGTCGATATTCCGCATGGAGTGCTGCGAGGAAGAATGAGGAAGGGAGGGAGGGAGGAAGGACCAGGAGGAGGAGCAGCAGCAGGGAGGACGAAGGAGGGGGATAAGGGAGAGGAGGAACAGGAGGAGCAGCAGCATTAGCAGAAGAATCAGACGCGTGCCCCCCCCTCCCCACCCCCCCCAGCCCCCCCCGCCACCAACGCGATGATGATACAGCGGTCGCAGCGGCGCGGCCGCAGCGGCGTCTCCTCGCGCGGGTACACCCAAGCCAGGAATTCTGGAGCTTCGATCTACCCTCCCCCTTCTGGCAAGAAGACGAAGAGGAGCACGAGGAAGACGGGGAGGAAGAATCGGAGGAGGGCGACGACGTGACGCCAACGGTGCCCGCAGGGGAGTCCACGTGAGGGGGCTCAGCGAGGCGGGGTGAGAGCGCCCAGTGCAAGCAGTCAGGTGCGGCTGCAAGAGAGAAGTATCTGGTTGGGGAACCAGCCAAGAGCTTGTGCGCACATACGTAACGTTACTACTTTCAGCAGAAGCAATGGTCGAGCGAAGGGTGGTCGCGCACAAGACGCGCACAGGACTACGTGTGCAGAGAAGTGTTTGTCCAACAGAGGTGCGAGTACGAGTCCGCCAGTGCGGCCAAGACTTCGCACAACACAGAGCCAACACAAGACCGCACAAGACATCCCGCACAAGACCTCGCACAAGACCACTAGGACCACTCTTTCTGATACGTATGTCATGGGAGGACAAAAAAATGCATAAGCATACCAACTCAGAGGTCCGCGCGGACTTCGTGGATAAGCGCTGGAGCCCCCTGGCAGCACAAACGGCGCCAGGGAGGGGGGCCCAGCGCCAATCCGATAAATCCGCGCGGATCTCAGAGTGTTTCTGCTTATGTCATTGTTTGTCCCCCAGGGCAACACTCAAGAACTGATGCACATGCTTTCATGCACCATCGACCTAGCCGTGGGGTGCCAACTCAGAGGCGGCCTCTAGCGCTGCCAAGCTCCGCGATATTGGTTTCCCTGAGGCTTTGCTCGGGTTTCCGTGTCTTGTTCATTGGGCTCCCCGGTCCGCTCTCGGTTCCCAGGTCCTGTTCCTTGCATTTTTCTTCTGGTAGTCCCTAGTCTTGTTCCTTCGGTTCCCCGGTCGCTGCACTGCCCAGCAATGCCAATCACTGCTGAGCAACGAGAAGCAGTGCCGGTAAATACCAAGCACGAACCAAACAATGCTCAGCAACGACAAACAACGCCAAACAATATAGGAAATGCGAAGCAGTGCCAATCAATGCCAATCGATGCCAAGCAATGCGAAACAACATCAAACAATGCCCAGTAACGCCAAGCAATGTCAAGCAGCGACAAACAATCGCAAGCAATGCCAAGCAATGCCAACCAATAACGAGCAGTGCTTGGTGTGGTGCGATCGAATTCTGATAGCTCAGCATAAACTCACGTGTGACACGCTGGAGTCGGATTGGCCAGCCTACGCTAACCAGTGACACCCGCAGGCCTCAGAATTCCCTCATAGGGTGAGTCGCTGTGTTGCGCAGCGATTTGGTTCCTGCAGCACGGTGCCTTGTATCCGTGTCGAGGCTTCAAAAACAGATACTGGTGTGCCGTCGCCCGAGGGCGACCGCGCGGGTGCGAGCCCGCAAGGTCTGCAAAGCAACGCTAGCTTTGTGATAGAAACCTGTGGGTGCAGGGTTCCGATTCAGCAAAGGCGGCGCCCAACGGGTTGCCCGTTGTCCACCTGCACGGCGGCCCCCAGCGTTGCCTAGGGTTCCTCGCAGTTGCCCGGGTTTGCCCAGGGTTGCCCAGTCGGCCCCTGGCGTTGTTCGGGGTTGCCTGGGGTTGTCAGTAAAACACCTATGCCAAGCAACGCCAAGCAATGCCAGTCAATGCCAGTCAATTGAGTCAAAAGCAATGCCAGTCAATACCAGGTAACGCCAGACAACGCAAGGTGATGCAAAGCGTCGCCAAGCAACGCCAAGAAACGCCAACCAACGAAAAACAATGCAAACCAATGCCGAACCATGCCCAGCAATGCCAGGCGATGCCAAAACAATGCCTAGCACTGCCAAGCAGCGCAAGACAGCGTCATGGAATGCCACGCAACGCCAAGCAACGTCAAGCAACGCAAAGCAATACCAAGCAACGCCAAACAATGCCAAGCGATGCCACGCGATGCCAAGCAACACCAAGCAATCCAATGCAACGCCAATCAACGATCAGAAGAAGTGGCGGGCAATTTCAAGCAACGACATGCAATGCAAAGCAACGCCCAGCAATGCCAAGCAATACTTGCCATTGCATAGATCTGACATGCATTGCTCAGAACTGTTCCAAGTTTCTTTGGCAGAAAGAAAAGCCAGGAGGGAGAAGAAAACAGGACAGGATAAGAAGGCAGGAGAAACAATAAGGGAAACGACAAGGCAGGAGGACGAAGCGAGGGGGAGGAGCACCACGAGAGGAACAACATCAGCTGTTGGTCCCGCCTGTCGCCATACAGGACCCCTGATGATGCTCCCTCCCCCCTTCTCCCTCCCTCCATTCCTCCCTCCTCCCCTCTCCCCCCCTCTGTCCCATTTTTCCATTCCCTCGTCTGCTCTCCTTCTACCCTTTTATCATCCCATCTCTTCCGATTCTGTGCCCGGCCTGCCCGCCCCTCCTCCCCAGAATGGTCTACGTCGATGACCGAGAACAACTCGTTGATCTCCGTCCTCGGGCGCACTCTATTCTGCTTCCTTCCCGATCCTGCTCATCCACCTCCCCTTCCTCCCGCTCCTCCTCGGCAGCCTCGTCCTGTTCCTCCGCCTTCCCCCCTCCTCCTCCTCCTCCTCCTCCTCCTCTTCCTCCTCCTTCCGCCTCCTCCACCTCGTCATGATGCTGCTCTCCACCTTCTTCCACCGCCTGATAGTTTCCCTCCGCCTCCTCCTTCGCCTCCTTCTCCTACCCCTCCACCAGCGGTCAGTGTTTCCTGTGTTCTCGTGTTTTCCCTCTATATTTCTCTCTCTGTCTTTCTTTCTTTTTTCTCTCTCTCTCTCTCTCTCTCTCTCTTTTCCCTCCCTCGCACCTCCCGCGGAAGGGTGTGGCATCGCTTTGGAGGAGTAGACCACCAGGACGGCAAAGTCATCCGACGCACGGGAGCACGGGCCATCTCAACGGCCGATCAACCAAAGTGATCAGGTGGTGTGGTGAGGCAAGAAGCGTTTGGAATCAATACTGTAACACAGCCAACCATTAAGGAGTTTGCCCGATTCGGGATGCCAGCCCCCCCTGATGGCGGCAATGTTATGTTTATGTCTGTACCTGGTAGAGGCCTGCTCAGATGGGCCAGGACACGGACCCTCGAGCCGACAATTAGCCACTCGACCTTGGGCCGCCTGGAATTATCCACAATCGTTAGCCATCGCGAAAATCTACCAAAAAACAACGCTCGAAAGTCGGGCGTGCGAAAGATCTCATGCCGGCCTCATAAGACAAAGATCTGGACTGATGGCACAGCACCTCCAGCACCACGTCGCCCTCAGCCAAGATACGTCGGCAGAAGCCAATCGACTGCTGGATGGATTTGGAAAGTCGGGAAGCAGGCAGCGCGTCACTCATGTCATCCTGGTTGTTTCCATGCCTGACCCGTCGCTTCGCCCTGAGCAGCGCCTGCTCGATTTCCGGCACAACAAGCTCCCATGCGCATCGCTACTCATCATTACCCACGGGCATCACAATATCCGTCGTGTCTTGCCAAGCGATCGGTATTCTCAAACATCCACCGCGCGGACCCTGAGTGAACGGGAACACGTAGCCACGCCTTCCGAGGTCCGCCCAGCGCGATTGTTACGCGCATGTGAGCGCGCACGTGCAGGCTGATCGACAGACGGGACGCGAACTCCGTCGCCAATCTCGATGACATGGCCAGACAATCATATTCGCGCCAACATCCGTACAGCTTGTGGCGCGACATGTAGCGCGCCAACGTTAAGAGCACGCCCTGGCTGTCCTGATCCAACACCACTGAATCATTGAAACCTGCAGATACAGCAAAGATCCCATCGCGCACCCCCACGCGCAATGCTGGACGCCACCGCTATCTCATCAAAAAGAACTGCGGATTCAAGCCCTGCGGGCATCGCGGCCGAGACGCAGGCAGCCGCAAGAACAGCGACTCCGGATGATGATCCTTCCTTCACCGCTCGCACCGCCGGACCACACGCACCACGATGCCCAACCTGTTTACAGCATCTCGAGCGCGGGCCCACGCCGTCTACGCACGCGGCGGCGATCTGCCCCTTCGACAAAATAAAACGCTGAAGTGCGATATGCTGACCGGCAACATGAAAGCACGCCCGGCGATTCGTTGACTGCAAACCCAAGATGAGCCTGCCTCTCTGACGGGGGCTGCCCTGGGTCGGTCAGCTGGTCCAGGTTGCGAGATGCCCGCGGCCGCCGAACGTTCAGCGGTCTGCATCCTGGCCCCTTTTTCGTCTCGCCATCTGAAATCCCATGCGTCGCCCAGCCCGACTTCAGGTCACGCGAGGGAAGGGTCCCAGATGCCCTCGGGCAAGGAAAACTTGGCCGCGGCTCGTTTCTGCGACGGGGCCTATCGGTTAGCATATGACCTAGAGAAAAGACGTTTCGCCATCATGTTCGCACGGCGCGCAGCCTCTCCCGATCGCTTCGGAAGTGACTGCTCAACTCCGAAAAAGAAGCAGCAGGCCGCGGACCGCCTCGCAAAATGACTCCGCCGACTTTCCACATGTCTTGCGCGAAGAGATGTCGTGGACAACGCCCAAAATCTCATAGTAGTAGTAGTAGTAGTAGTAGTAGTAGTAGTAGTAGTAGTAGTAGTAGTAGTAGTAGTAGTAGTAGGAGTAGGAGTAGGAGTAGGAGTAGGAGTAGGAGTAGGAGTAGTAGTAGTAGTAGTAGTAGTAGTAGTAGTAGTAGTAGTAGTAGTAGTAGTAGTAGTAGTAGTAGTAGTAGTAGTAGTAGTAGTAGTAGTAGTAGTAGTAGTAGTAGTAGTAGTAGTAGTAGTAGTAGTAGTAGTAGTAGTAGTAGTAGTAGTAGTAGTAGTAGTAGTAGGTAGTAGTAGTAGTAAGTAGTAGTAGTAGTAGTAGTAGTAGTAGTAGTAGTAGTAGTAGTAGTAGTAGTAGTAGTAGTAGTAGTAGTAGTAGTAGTAGTAGTAGTAGTAGTAGTAGTAGTAGTAGTAGTAGTCGTAGTAGTAGTAGTAGTAGTAGTCGTAGTAGTAGTAGTAGTAGTAGTAGTAGTAGTAGTGGTGGTGGTGGTGGTGGTGGTGGTAGTAGTAGTAGTGGTAGTAGTAGTAGTAGTAGTAGTAGTAGTAGTAGTAGCAGCAGCAGCAGCAGCAGCAGGAGTAGTAGTAGTAGTAGTAGTAGTAGTAGTAGTAGTAGTAATTGTTGTTGTTGTCGTAGTAATAATAGTTGTGGTGGTAATAATGGTGGTAATAATGGTGGCACTGGTAGTAATAGTAAGTGCCCTCACACGGTTCGCGGCCCCGTACGGAGCTCCACCGAAACCTCCAGTGGTTGCGTCTGCATGCGCCCCGCGCCCATGTCGGCACACCTCACACGCTTCGCGGCCACCAACGGATCCCCACCGAGGCCCCACTGGCTGCGTCCACATGCGCCCCGCGCCCATGTCGGCACGGCCCTCGCACGGCTCGCGACCCCACAAGGCGTTCCACCGAAGGCCCCGGTGGCTGCGCGCGCCCACATGCGCCCTTCGCCCATGCAAACACAGTTTCCACGCGGTTCGTGGCCCCATAGGGAGCCCCACCGACGGCTTCAATGGCTTCGCTCGCGTGCCCCCGCCGCGCCCGTTTCGGCAAACCCCCCATGCGCTTCGTGGCCCCGCAAGGCGCTACGCCGAAGGCCTCAGCGGCTGCGCCCGCGCGCGCCCGCCACAACCACTCCGGCACAACCCTCACGCGCTTCGTGGCCCCATAGGGAGCTCCACCGAAGGTCGCAATGGCGCCGCCCGCATGCCCCCGCCGCATGGTCGGAGCGCTTCGCCAAGAAAATTCTCTGCAGCCGCATCGGGCGCCATCGGGGATGAGGCCGGGCCGCGTGCGCCACGACCGCGGAGGGCAGTGCCCGCAACTGGAGTAGTAGAGGTACTCACCCTGGGCGCTCCAGCCGATTCGAAGTGCAGGGATCCGTCACCGCCCTATATGATAGCACTAATGACGCGTCGAGAATTTCAGTGGGCTCCGGGCGACCAAGATCGGGCCGCAGACATGACAAACGTGACCCGATTCCTGGTGCCGCCGCCCTCGCCCCACTAGGAGTAGCCGTGCACGAAGTCGATTAACCTTGGACTACATATACCCACGTTCTGCGCGTGGCGTAGCGCCGTCCGCAAAGCACTCCAATGATTACCTATTCCCGCGCCTATCAACTCGATGTGGTTGTCCAATTCGTGAACGCGTGCTCGAGTTCTGCATTCGTCAAAGGATGCTCCAACGTCGCCGAACCCGTCATCAACACCACCCAGCTGCATAGACTCATCAGGCCGTCACAAGTCAATTCAAGTGCGCCTTGCACCAGACGGTGCGTGACCAGCCCAAGCCTTCACCGCGCGCCCCCACACTCTGACTCGAGCTGCACCACCGTCTCGGTGGAAGTAGGCAGCGAGTCGTTCGCAGGAGCCGGCGACCTCGAGACAGTCATTTCAAACCAGATGGCCCCATGTCTGCCTCGGTCTGCCCCTCTTTCTCGGGCCGGCGATCTTCCGCAGCTCCAGGGTGCCCGGTTCAAACACCGAGCGTCGCACAGGGTCTCGGCAGGGTCGGCGCGCTAATTGGCCCATGAATATCATCTGCCGCCTCGCGAGGTCGTCGCTGAGCTTCGTCTGGCCAGCGATCCCAAGCACGGTGGCGTTCGACACTCTACTGATGTATGCCAGGCGCACTGTGCAAATCCTTCTGATACATCGATTTTGGAAGCCGTCCAAAAGTCGGCGTTCGGCCTTGATCAGACACGCCGTGAAGGGAGCGTACATTAATTTGGACACAGCGCATACACTGAGGATGTGGAGTTTCTGTTCCCCCGTCAGCGAAGCGTGCGACCAAATCGTGTGTAGTACTCTGAAGTCTTGCATTGCTGCTCCGATCCTGCGGGACAATTCCAACACGCATCTTCCGTCGGCAGAGATCGACGTGCCCAAGTCGGCGATGGTATGCTCATTGGCGATAGGAGCGCCAGCGTTGTCCGAGATGCAGCCATTTGTGCGCACCTTCATCAGCTCCAAACTCCACCTTCTTCCAGCTGAATTGCAAACCGTAGTTTGCCCCGAGCTTCTCCACGCATGTCATCAGCTCCTGCACGGCCTCTGCGCTGGCGCCGAGCAACAGCGTGAAGCACCGTGTCATCCGCGTAGACAAGATCTCGGACCAGCTGTTCTGCAACAGGTTGGCCTCGTCTTCGGCGAAACTCTCTGTGAGCATCTTGATGTGGGCTTGAGCTTGACGGAACTTTGACGACATGTTTCATGGTGTAGCAACCGCTCTGAAACTAGTGCTGGGTGGAGCTGGCATTTTCTAGCTATGGAAGCATGCTGCTTTGCTGCGCTTGCAACTCCAACATTACTCTCGCGTAGCCACTCGCCTCGTGCCAGGCAGCGTTTGCAGAGCCACGTCCTGCCATCACCGTTCACGTGAATCTTGGGCGGCTGGATCCTGCGATGCGTGGCCAGCAGTATCAAGTCGAGCTGCTTGCGCAACCCGCTGCGGGCCTCGGCACATTGCCTCCTTCCTCAGGCGGCGATGCCAAGGAGGGGACCTGTCTCGGGCCGTCGCGCGCCGCGGGCGCCGCGCCCGCCACAGGGCCAACGGCTGCGGGCTGAGCTGCAAGCCACCTGCTTGAGAGGAGTGGAAGGAAGGAAGAAGGGGAGGAGGGGCAGGATGGAGGAGGGAGGAGGACTGGAGGTCGCAGCAGGACTCTCCTGGCGTCGGCCAGGCAAGCGGAAAAAGAGGACCGAGAGAAGGGAGGCGACAGGAGGGGGGTCATCATCCCATCCTCCTTATCATCCTTTTCCTCCTCACCGTCGTCTTCTCTCTCCCCCAATTCATCGTCCTCATCATCGCCGTGAGGGCGAGAAGGGGGGAAATAGGAATGGCACGGGGAAAGGGACGGGGACGAGGCCACAGAAGAGGAACAGGAACAAAACGAGGAGAGAGACCGGGAGGAGGACGAGTAACATGAGGAAGCGGCGGCGGAAGCAGATGCGGAGGCGGAGGCGGACGAGAGCCGAAGAGAGGATCATCCTCCCCTCGGCAGTCCTTGCCAGGCCAGAGTCGGGGCTGAACTTCTTGATGAAGGTCGCAAACTCTGCCCTGAATGCACGGTGAGGTGGGTGCAGGGACAGGCGTCCCCCTCTCCAGGGGACCCCGGAAGCCTCTAGAGTCCCCAAAGGTCCCTGGCGGTTCCCAGAGGACTCCAAAGGACTTCGTATGTTCAAGGCAGAAAACATACGTCAAGTAACACTTATCACCGATCCATCGACGACGACATCGCAAACGCAGGCTCACATGTTCTTTCAGCGCAAGCAAGTTGGCAGACCCACTGGGTGAGGAGGGGATCGAGCATTCCTCTTTCCTTCACCCTGTTTCATCCTTCCTCCCCTTTCTTCGTTCGTCCCCCCTCTCCCTCCTCCTCCTCCAACTCCTCCTCCCTCTGTCCTTCCCTCCTTTCCTCCTTCCCTCCCTTCTCTGTCCACCTTCCTCCGCACCGCAACCGCACAGCCTCAGCATCACCTACCAGGATGACGATATCCGACTGACGCCAGCGCAAGGCACCGAACGGAGTCGCGCCACGCAACGCCTCACGGCCGCCGGCCACGCGGCTGACCCCGACCGAGGGACTGCCTACACTACCAGCACCACGACGCTGCACTGGAGTGCTACCAGACTGGGCTTAAGACGCGGGCCGCCCAGGAACAGTCAGGACTCCGTCTGGACATACTCTAAAGAGAACAGACGTCTTGGGTCGACCTTCATCAAGCCCGATCGCAATCTGGGAGTTTCTCCCCATGCAAGCCACCAGGTGCGCGTCGATGCTCACCGATTGTACACCACTGCTAACCTCTCCGTTATGAATGCGCTGCGTGATCTGCTGGCGATTGTTCCGTGTGCCTAACACTGAGCCGCGGCGGAGGATGCCCCAAGGTGGTGCGGATCACGCATGCCTAAGCGTGCGTGAAGCGGGTGCCTCCCTGCTCACGGGCGCACAGAACGGGCGAGCCTGGGTCTTATCACCACTTCCCGCTGTTATGTCCCACTCGTGGATCTTACAGACCGCGCCAGGGGGGAAGATACCCCTGCCCCTGCTTCTCAACCGGCAAGAGGTGGGCGCGCCGGTCTCGAATACCCCGCGCACATGGGCGGACACTCCGCCAGAACTGTTGCGATCTCCCCACCTTCCTCCCCATGTCCCATTTCCCCCCTCATTCTCCTCTTAGGGCCTTCCCCCGCCCCTGCCAGCCCCCCTTTCCCCCCCTTTCAAGACGCGGCTCGCCACCGAACCCTCCCTTCGAGTTGTTCTAATCATTCGGCGTAACAGCCGCCTCTGGGCCCGACCCCACCCCCCCATCTTCCCCCCTTTTGGCGTAACGTCTGGCGCGGTCTCAGCTAACTTCCAAACCATTCCCAAGCACCGCGCGCGAAAAAACGCTACGTCATAAGCGAACACATCTACAACTACACAGAAACGACTGCACCTTGTTGCGGGGACCAAGGTGTGGCAATCATAATTAGATTTGGCGCGTCGGTCGGTCTGGGTGGACGGACGCCGCCTCGCGACCTACGATGGAAGGCGACGGTCGCGCCGACGACGTTGCGTGCCAAGCGCGGAAGCGATCACCACGTTTCACGGCGAGGCATGGCGGCGGCCGCAAGAGAAAATATAACGCGAACGAGCGTTCCACCCTCGGACGGGGAATCCGGCACGAAGAAGAATTCGAAAGCGCGGGGGATCGGATCGCGAATTTGCTGCTGGGGCACAGGCGGGGGGAGGAAGCGGGCTGCGCGAGGTCGAGGCCCTCGGGCATACAGCTGGCGTCGCTGAGCCAGGGGATGCGAGCTGTCGGTGGGAATCGGCCCAGGGGGCGGGGCCTCGGCGACGGGCAGCGCGGGCAGCCGTTGCTTCGCGAGGAGGGGACACGCGCAAAACGGCACATACCAGGCGGGGCGCGGCACACGTTGGGAGCGCGAGTGGCGGCACCCGACATGCACCCCGCCCCGCTGGCTAGGCGCAGCTCTACAAGTGGTCCGTTTTGTGAAGATGTCTCCGGCGAAAACAGCACGTGCAGAACTACGCCTAGTCCCTGGCTAGTTGTAGTTCTGAACGCGCTGGATGTCTCGCGCGGGGCGAGCACGCGCAGACCGGCGCCTGACGAAAAGGGCGGGGCGCAGGTCGGGTGCGTCGTCGCGCCCCGCCCGCAGAGCCAGGAAGGCAAGGGCCGCTGAACCCCCTGCCGGCCTCCAGGTGGACGCATCTGAACGCCCCTGGGCTATCAAAAGGAATTCCAACTGCGACCTCCGCCTACGTCGCCCCCCCTATCAGAGCATCTCGCCTGGTCACTATGCCCCCCATTCCCGCCCGCTGCTCTGCCCCCCCCCCCCCCCGTTCTTCCTCTACCTGCCGCCCTCCATTTCCCCGTGCGCCCCCCAATTGCCACCGGCCCCTGCGCGGCGGCAAACGGCCGCCAGCTGAAAGACTCACCTTGCGCCCATCCTCCAATCCACTCGCGAGGCGCAAGTCTTGATTCCAGACAAACGCCGGCAAGCGACGCCGATGCCCTGGCAAATCCAACAGACGCGATCGGCCCCCGCGAATGACGGGCGAACCAGTACGTAAGAGACGTCGCAAAAGTAAGTTCGGAATTTGGGGATCCGCGTAAGAAGCTAATCCACTCGCCCAAAATGCAGTTCTGCGCCTGTCCGACATAAGGCCCGCCCCCATTCCCCCCAGAAGACAGTTGGCCTCGCCGACGACGGCCGGGGCATGGCGGCGAAGGATGCAACGCGTTGCCCGGGGGCCTGCCTCGAAGGCATGGCACCAGGCAGAAGACCTGCCAGGTGGAGGAGAAAAAAAGCCCAGGTGCTCGGATAGGCTGCCGGGCGACGTCGATGGCGTCTACCGGGCGACGCGGGGGCGGCCCCTGGAATTTAGAATTCAAGGAGTGCTTTCTCGAAAAGCAGCAGCGGCCCAGCGGTGCACTGTCCGCCCTGGACATCCAGCTGGTCTTCGAGAACCTGGGCGCAGAGATGGAGCTGGCCGCCGTGGGGAGGCCTGATCGGGCTTGCTGCTGAGCAAACTACCTCGAGGCCATGCCGCCCTGCCACAGGGGCGACGTCCTCATGGACTGGCGCGCCCTCCAGCGGCCCGACGGCAACTCGGCGGGGCGCCCATGGGCAACTGAGGCTGGAAGACGCCGATGTGCCTGCCATGGCGCTAGTCGGGGCGGCGAGCACAGCACGGCAGGGTTCGCCTATCCGCGCGACGCGTGGCGGCGAGAGGGGCAGGTTTGGGAGGCCAAGACAGCCGCGGTTGGTGCCGTCGGCGAGCGGCCCAGCGTCTGGGCCAAGGCCTGCTACGACGCGCGCGTCGAAAAGCTCTGCGCTCGTGGCAATGCACGCCGCTCCTCGCACGACCCCGCGGTGCTCGCGGAGCCCCGCAAGGCAGCAGGCCGCCAAGGGCGACAAGAGGGCTCGCAAGGAAAAACGGCGACCGCGGACAGCAGTCGCGAAACGGCACGGGCCAGGGCGAGACACGGATGCGCCTCAACCTCGAGGGCAACTGCAACACAGAAGCTCGGCCACCAGCGCAGGTCCAGTCCAATCGGCCAGGGCCGCGCAGAAAGTGACCGACCTCGACCGCGCGGGCCAGGGCGTCGCCAGGCCGCAGCGCTCACCCCGGCCGCCCGCGACGCGGGCTGGGCGCCCACAAACGCAGACTTTGAGAATCTCCGGCCCAACATCCGCGGGAGAAGTGCCACCGCGAGCCCCCAGGCAGGGCGGGAAGAGCGCGCAATCACAGCGAACGTCTCGACTTGAGTCTGGCCGAGCGAGGTGCGAAAGGCAAGACGATTATCATAGACAACACTCATCCATCCCTGCGCGCGCAACTCCGCTACTACGACACGGCCGCTAGAACGTTCGACGAGGCTGAGAGCAGGATAATCTTAACTGTTCACGTGGCCGCGAGAATCCGGAAAGCAAAAAGTGGGCCCCAACGACAAACCAGCTGCCCTGAACTGGTATCACCGCTTCCGTCTAGATCAGAAATTAACTGATTCATGTGCATGTGGCCTTGTAGGCGCAACTCACAGCATCTGGGATATATTTGAATAACGGGATCCGCGAGGCCATGCCCCAGATTTACATAGAGGCCACAATTACGTAGGTGACGAATTCATCGAACCCACGCACTGCATGGAAACCCTCTGGCCCACAGCGCCACCCAAGTGCAGATGTAGCATGCAGCATGCCGGCAGGGGCATGGGCCGTAGCTCCCAAATACATTGGCTCCAACAAACAAGCCAACCCACGAAGCACGCTAGGGGTGCAAGAGCAAAGTACACGCATGCCCCAGCTACAATCCAAACGAAAGATCCTGGCCCAATTCGACATTTAGTAAACCAACACGGTTACGGAAATTACGGCGGGCGGTGTCCTCCTATGACCTTTTGCTGGTCCTCCTGCTGGCCCTCCTCCTCCTCCCCCTCCCGTTCCCCCCCCCCACCACGGCCGCGTGCAATATGGTTCAAGCCATTCTGGCCCGAGCTTCTCAAGTCATGTTGGCCAAATCAGCGCTGCGACAGACTCCCCGCGCGCCGTTGCTATCGGCCCGCTCACTTGAGGGCCCCCTGGGTCAGACAGGGAAAAGTATCACCACTCCCTAACCGGAACCGCCATGCGCGCTGCTCCTGGCATTGCTCCTTGGCGTCGTGCTGGGGCTGGACCACCGCGGCCCCGAGTGGGGGGACCTGGGTTCGCGGCAGCTGCGAGCGCGGCGGCCCTGTCAACACCGCGCGGGGGCTTTCCAGGAACTCAGTTCCGAGGCCAAACAATTTTCATCATGGGGCAGTTGGCATCGAGAGCGGCCCCCTCCGTTCGGGCCCGATGTTCGACTGCGGCGGCGGCGCAGGCCGCGCCTGCGCCCGCGGGCCACGCTGCCGCCCGCCCAGGACCTCGCGAAGCTGGCCTCCGTGATCGAGGGGCGCGCGGGGGCAAGGCTAGCGCGAAGCGGCGTCAGCTCTCTTCGACAAGTAGAAGCGCGGCCCGGCCACCGCCGCCGTTAATTTTCGGGCCCACGCCAACGCACATGTCCAAGG